TTTTTACTAATCACTCTTTATGCACCTGGACAGGGCCTCCGATGGCATTAACAAACACATAAATTCCGCGAAAGTCAGACACTCAACCGCATATAAAGTATGTATGTAGGTATATATACGCACCATATGTGGCTACAAACACCTTTGCCACTCCAACTTTAAGCACTTGTACATATTTTCCTTCTAACCAAATCTGTTCTAGATACGAATATTTCTATATCTATTGCTGTGTCTTCTTTTCCTAAACTTTTTATTGAAAAACTAACGATGGTCTCTTCTTGAACCGTTCGCGTCCAATACACGTGAAGAACTGAAACTGAAACTGATTTGGAGAACTCAAATCCACTTTTCCTCAACATTGAGAACCACTACATAGCCATATACATAAATATTTATGTACATCCATATATACACTCTAAGTCGTCGGCCAACATAAAACTCATCAGCAGTAACTGCTTACTCCTTGTCCCGCCATTCCGCTGCAATCCACGATCCGGTACCGGCAATGTGCATTGTGTACATACAAACATGCATACGTCGTATGTACTGAGGTACTCAATGGCATTGTCTTCTTTTCTTTCTTTTTTTGTCCTCGATCTTCAACAATCACCATCACCGTCGTCGCCGCCACCGCCTATGCCCAAATCGGCCTCTGACTTGCCTGAGTCGGTTGTGCGGGTTTGTTGACGTCGTACGCCGTCTGCTGTGGAATCATACGGGTATCGTTTGCTTTCTTCCCAATCCCGCAGCGTTGAGCGGCGTACTCTTGATCGCGCTCCTTCTGTCTTTGCCTGATCGTTATATGTATGCATTAGGGTGGTCCAAAAATACACTGGAAAATCGACGTTTTGGAATATTCCCGCTGCCACGATCAGGCAAAGTATAATATTTTACCGTGCCGCATAAAAATAAATATTTTTTTTTATCCAATTAAATGCATAATAACTTAATTTATTGAAAATGACCGTAGAGGCATATTCTTATTGGTAAAAAAAAATATTTATTTTTAAGCGGCGCGGTTAAATATTATCCGATTTCAAATTTAAAAAAATACGCGTCTCCTTATTTTCGATATTTTTAAGTTCTACCGGGTGGCTGAAAAAAAAGTGCACCACCCTAATGTACATATGTATGTAAGTATGCGTTGTTGGTATGTGTCGAGAGTCAATACATTAATATGCGGTTATTTGTGTGCATAGTTGCAATGTGCACTGCATTTTTGTATTCAAAGTACATTAGGGCAAACATCTCCGAAGTCGCCTAAAAATTTGCACTTCACAAATCGTTTTTCTACCAAATGCCATTCGAAAAGAGATCCTAATTGAGGTTCTGTCAATGCTAAGGACGTTTAAGGGATAATATGCCAGGGGTTTCATATGGTATGATGGATTTTGGAACGAATTTTCGTCATTTTTTGGGAATTTGGCTTATCGTCTGTCTGCATTGACGTTAAATTATTTTCTAAAGTGAACTTTTAGATATTTATTATGATAGATTGAATTGTGCTAGACCAGCGCTTGTATTTTCAAGCAACTGAAGTCTGAACTGAAGTCTTCCGGTAGGCAAAATATCACCACTAATAATTTCTCTATTCCTAGATTACACTCATATGGCAATGGGATAAGCCTTTGAAACTAAGTTTCGAGACCCAAGCTTACCAAAATTTATTTCAACATTTTAAAAATAAGAATACATCCCAACAAATTTTGGTTAGGAAAAGCGTAAAAATATGAAAATTTGTTGGGGAAGTTCCCAATTAAATACTAAGAAAAAAAATTAGTAGAATTTGGAGAAACCATAAAGCCTCCTCTTCGGATCGTTATTGGAGCCCGAAAACAATACAAAAACACTCAACCTAGCTTATCTTTGGATGATGTAAGGAGTCCTTTTAAATAAATAATGGGTTAAAAATGAGGCCGCGCGGATTCTTCGGGGGTTATCTGAGTGAGCTTTCTGCCACTCCGTAATCCCTCCTTTAAGGAGTTCTTTAGGTAGATTTGTTTTTACATATATAATGAAAGACCCTTTTCTGTTCCTTTGGGATTCTTTTCGGGCCCTCCCTAGAAAGGTCAGCGCACCACACAGGGAGTCCTAATTGTGCACCTTGCGGACTCTGCTGGTTAGCTGGAAATTTGTATTTTGTCTACGATTGTTCTATCATTTGTGAGAATCTAGAAACAAAATATCTACACAATTGCAATGATTGTCTCTCATCAGCAAATAAATCAACCCGCCCTAATGAAGGTGCATAAACATATATACATGCATATACATTTATAAATGTCTATGTGTTTGTACCAATGTTGAATGCACATCCATCATCGCTTCTGGCTCTGCAGCTACTTAAAATGGGAGAGCTGCTACTTTCTAGTTTTGGACTAAATGCAGCGACAGTTACACAAGTCAATAAAAGTTAGTTATAAAACGTTTTACTAAATATGGGTAAAAAAAAGTTCGTTATATACATATACATATATACAGTATCGGTCAAGACAAAAGCACCGCCTAGCGAAGTGAGCTCTGCGAATTCCAGTAGGTCCGATTTTTAGCTGAAAGGTTTCTAGTCGGATGCCAACTGCACAATCTGGACTCAACTGCTCGTCTTCAGATTGTACGCTCACTTACTGATAAACTTCGTCCTTTATATATATTACTTTAAGAGTTAATCGGATAAGTTTAGATAGTTTTCGTGACCAGAAAGATGTTTTCCTTTGTCTTACCCAGCTGTAGTGATTCAGTACACTAACAGTTTTCTATAAGTTTTTCAATTTCTCGGAAAAAGCATATGACGAGAGTTTAAGTTTCAAAGAGTTGGACTAAACAAGATTTTGATAATCTTCACCAGTGTGTAGCCTTGATTCTGATCAGCGCGTACGGCACTTTTTTACTTTTTCTCCCAGAATTAGGGAAACGATATCGAACTGAAAGTATCAATAAAGTACTTATTTAAAGTATCCCTGTAAGTTTAAAAAAAAAAAGTTCAGGATTGGGTACCCATCAATATCTGGCTAAAAAGACTCAATATTACAAATATGGATATTTACCAAATTCAAAACATTAAATCTAAATATTGGTCGCATTTGCTTTACATATAAATTCCAAAGTATAGGCATATGGGCGTTTCCAACGAAAAAAAAAGCAAAATAAAAAATGTTTCAATGAAAATTTTAGTAATGTAACGTAATGTAATGTCAGGTTGTTGCTGTTGTAGCGGCACTACTAAGCCCCGCCTATTTCACTTTGTCCATTAGTCGTTGTTGTCAAGCTCAACTAACGGTGGTCGGTGTCGCGTGGGGAGTCTCCACGCAATGTAAGATACTTCGGCTGATAAAAAAGAAGAAAAGACTTTTACATTATGGATATAATGTACAATGTGTTATTAATCAAATCAATTTTGCAATGTACCTACATTTACGAGTCGGTACGATACAAGGGGGGTTCTGGTACTCGAATCCAAAAAATGTCATTTTAAAATTATCGAGCAAAAAGTATCGGTATCGAATTGCAAAAATGTCGATATGGTATCGTATCGTATCGAACTTCGTGTCTCTACCCAGAATCTGCTATGTTTGCTATGGTTATTGGTTACTGTTATCCTCGAACAGTCGTGGTTTAGCGTCACCGAAGAGATATATGCATGAAATCATTCCTCGCACTTGTGCCCATTTCAATTCATCGGCGTAGTAGATTGCTATCGATCTCGATATATGTATAAACTAAATTGTCAAAATTTGTATTGAATTACGCATCTCCTGTTTTTTCACTTACTCAAGTTCAAGAAAATCTTATAAATGATAAAATGTTCCATACATCACTCGTCTGCATACGCAGCTGCTCATATTTACTATTATTTTGTCCCTCTGTACTAACAATTTTATTTAGACTGTGCCCATCGTAGCCTGCAGCTGAATGCTTGCACATTTTCAGAGCGTCAAAAAATTACATTTGCTACCAACATAGAATTCTTCGGACGCCAATTGATGATGGGCCTTATTTTTTGTACACGTATGTATGTATGTATGTATGTATATTGTACATTGCTCACGGCTCTTCTCTTCAACGATCATGCTGCTTTTTACCTTCACAATAAGCGTCCAAAGAGAGAATGAGAATGTTGTTGTTTTTGCTTTTATAGGTACTAGTCTTTTTTCAATGCTTCTTCGTACGAGTATGCATGAGTACTTATTTATTAGCCCAGGGGGTTCTAGCTTCTTAGGAAATTTGTGTGGCATAAGGTTGGGCTCTCAAGTGTTGGACACGTTTTTATTATTGTTTGTTTAATGTTATGAATTGATATGCTGCCAGTTTGCTTCTTGGCTTGCCGCTTTATCCATAGTTTGCTGCTATAGCAGCTACCCAGCAGGAAAATCATCAACTAAAAAAATCTGGTATCTATTATGACTTTGACAATTCTGAACCACTCGCAATAAACGGCATACTCATGTATTAGGTATGCCTAGGCACTTACGTCAAACTTTTTTTTCACATAGCCCCTCAGCGAATTTTCGACTGTGGCATCACGCAAAGACTACAACTTACGGATCTGAAGAAGCAGGCTCGAGCGCGCCTGAAGGTGATACGGATTTTTTTTAATTTTTTCGAACTTATCGCAGTGGCTAGACCACTCTCATTTTGTAAGCTGAAGTCGCCGGTTCGAATCCCAGTGAATTCGATGAAGAAGTCTGAAGAGGAGATGCGGTGATCTCCGCAATAGCTGCTGTAACTTCTACCATTTATAAAACTGTTGTTGTTTTCCCAACTATTTTTTTCTTTAACGGCCTCAAACTCAATAAAAATTTTTTATTATGATTTAAAAAACAAAAAAAGCGGATTCATCAAAAAACCAAACTAACTGAAGCATAAAAGGATAAAAAAAAAGTATATCTCTGCGCCAGGAGTCGTTACGAGGATTGGTACGCCACCACACTGTCTCGCACCTGGCGAAGAGGTAATGCAAGAAGTAAGCGTACTATTTACTATTTGGCGCCTAAGTTATCGCCATATTGCTTAGTTTGAAAAGAGTTTAAAATTGCCTAAAATCATGCAGGTATCGATCCTTTTACTTTGAAGTAGTATGGAAATAAAGTATCGATGAATACTCGTATTGATACATTTGGCTATGAAGGTATTCCGTGTGAACTAAACCATGCCCATAAAGTCCAAGACGAAGTAATGGTGGTGGCGGCCGTATACGCATATGTATGTAAAAAAAAAAAAATGAATTATGTACACCAAATACATCTTTTTGGCGTAATGTTCTAAACGGCGAAAAATTCAGCTGTCGCCCCAACACCAGCTTCAGTGGTGGAATAACAG